TTTTTTTTTTTTTTAATTTAGTTCAAGTCTTTAATTTTCCCAAGTCAGGAATATTATCCCCAAACTTTCATCCAATAGTCAATTGATCATTCATTCTTTCTTTTCCAATTATTTCAAAAAAGGTCCAACACTTAAACAAACAAAAATTAACCCAAATTAAGTAAAATTCAATATTTCAACAACATAAAAATTTAGTAATATGGCCCAAATAAGTGCACAAAATGCACTTATTAATTTCACATAGATAACTATTTGAGTGCGAGTAATTAATCTCTAACGTTTGGTTATAAAATTGGTCTTTTGACTTGAAGTCATTATAGTACCTAATATAAGGACGTCATACTTTGATGACGTTGGATGTTGCTCTACCAATGGTCGCTAATATGATATCGTTTGAGTATTTCAAAAATCATATGAAGGTTGTGAATGATTAATAGAGAATTACGATCTATACTTCATTCAATCAAGTTGATAACGAAATCCATGGACCCTAAATTGAATTTTATTTTATTTAGAAATTTTATCCTAGACTAAAATGTTAATTTAATTGCAATTAGGGTTGTATTCTAATTTGACATTTAATTGGAATTTGATTTTAGTTAATTACGAACCCGAATATATTCTTGAAATTAGAGTTAGATTCTAATTTAACATTTAATTGAATTGTATCGACCTAAAAATTTTGAAATTAGAGTTGCACTCTAATTTGGTATTTAATTAAAATTTGATTTTAATTAAATTCAACTTACCTATAATTATGGAATTAGAGTTGAACTTTAATTCGGTACCTAATTAAAATTTGATTTTAATTAAATATTTCCGCTAATTAAATTTTATTAATTAATCATTTAATTATTCCGATCCATTTGTTTAAATTAGTTTACACAACCTTAATTGTTAGAAACTTGAATATTTGCATATAGATATTATATAAGAATGAATATATGTGATGAATGTATACTTAGTGGATGATTATTGACTCGACCATATGAATGCGTTGAATGTTTAGTGTTATTCTTGTTATATTATAAGCCTGCGAGCTCTTATTCATTTTGGACCTACGAGTCCGTTATTCTTATTATTACGGGTATGCACGTCCAATTTCATTTAGGCCATCGTGCCAACTAATATAGAATATATGTTGCATCTGGACTAATTGAAGATGGAAGAAGAGGAGGAGACTGGAGAGATGGAGTATTGTATAAGTCAATGCAATACTCCATAGAAATTGATAAACTAGTCTTTCTTATTATTTGGGAAGACTAGAAGTATATGTCAATAATCATTTACACTATTATATGTATGTTTATGTGTATGCTAGATGTATGATAAAATATGTATAATCATTACGATGAGACCTTTGTGTGAAAATCATAGTGAAAAATCAGAATCCTCAATCGATTTCAATTTATTGAGCATATTCAAGATTGGTCTTTTATGGACATGTTTGACACTATGAAATATTAGATATCTTTGAATGATGGGTTTGATTTTACTAAAATTTATATTT